ACTTGAGGCTTGCTGGGCTTTGTGTTGGATAAAGGAGACAGGAAGTCTCAGAGCAAAACTTGGTCAGAGATCCTTGTTTTAAAGGCCAGCAATTCCATGCAACGACCCACTGAGCCAGAATGCTGAGTCCAATGTCAAAAATCAGTGCAGCCTTACAGGAGTGAGGGAAAGGGAGAAGGATTTTTCCCCCTAATCACACAGAGGTTGGGATTAGAGTTCTTCTTTTGGTCCCTGAGATAAAGCAGAGAGGAGTCTATTACATTTTTATATTTTCATTTATGTGTCAGTCTTGTGTTAAATTTATGGGTGCGATAAAACTCTTGTATTTGGAGCCTGCCAGAGCTTTGCCTTTATTGTCATGGTTTATCTGCAGTAGAAAATAACTGTTTCCCTCTCTGCTCCACAGATCAAATTGGCACCAACAGTCCTCCCTCCCCACCCCGACTTTTCTCAAGATGATATGAAGGGGTGAACTTCAAAGCAACTGAGGCAGTCCAAGAAGAAGCATATCCATGTAAGCAGAATACCTTCCTCTTACTGTTAGCTAAACATCTTGCTTTTTTATCTTGTAAAGTTTATGGCTCAACTCAACTCAAGTCATTGTCATAATTGCCTTTTTTGATTGCTAATCTTTTTGGAAAGCAGATTTATGAATGGCCCAATGTGATTCTTTGCATAGAACCTATTAGACCACTTCCTTAAGCCATCCAAACAAGCTTTGTCCATGAAAATACAACCACACTAATTAAATTTTGTACGTTTGCCAAGCTATGGACTCAATTATTGTTGGCTTGGATGATAAGAAATATATCGTGTACATAGACAACACTCCACTAGTGGCCAGGTAGAGGTAGTAGTTGTATAAAACAGCTCAGCAAAAAAAAAAAAGGCCAGATTGGATCTAAATAATCATTTTGGCACACATGAAAACAAAACCAACTCTAACTATTTCCCGCAGTTTTAGTATAATTAAAGAATAGATATTCCCCTCCCTCCTTGACACAAGTCACATTGTCCAATTAGGTGTTCTGGCATCTCCCTGGAAACTCCTTTCAGTCTCTGGCCAGGACTGTTGAGATGACCTTGGTTCCCATGGGACAATCTGTTGTTCTTGTCTAGTCTGACATTCGAAACCTCCCTCCCCCCCACAGCATACTGTGTGGTAAACTGAGAAATGAAAAGACGGCTACGGCAGCCTAGATCCATTTCAAAGTTGACAGGTGCATCTAAAGCTTCTGCTTTTTGCCCATCTATTCGATTTTTAATCACCTTTCCAGATTGCTCATATGCAAAGCAGAAATCTTTTATTAATCCTTATTTCCTGCTTTGCAGTTTTCCTGTTGTTTGTGGAGAAGTAGGGGAGGATGGTGCACTGCTTTGGACTTCTCAGAAAAAAAGAATATTTAAACTAAATTTGATGATTTCAAAGGAAGATTAAGATTCTAGAATCACTGAATTACTGAAGACTATGCATTGATGTTTAAATTACAAGTTCTATACACAAAAGAACTCCACACCCCCTCTAAAAGGGTCAACCCTAACCCTAACTAAATGCTTCTTTTTAAAACTTCGTTTCATAGAAGCCAGAAGGCTCTTCCCTTCAAAATAAGATTATTCAGTTAGACTGGTTTCTAACGTTTATGAAAAAAATCATACTATTACAGTGTTTCTCAACTTTAATAACAGTAGCAATAGCACTTAGACTTATATACTGCTTCATAATGCTTTACAGCACTCTCTAAGCAATTTAGAAAGTCAGCAGATTGCCCCAAAAATCTGGGTCCTCATTTTACCAACCTCAGAAGGATGGAAGGCTGAGTCAATCTTGAACTCTGTCAGGATCAAATTCCTGGCAGTGGGCAGTTATCCTACAATACTGTATTCCAACCATGTCAAACTCACGGTGTCATGGCGTTGTCATGTGACATATCATGACTTTTTTCCCCTTCACTACACCAGGCATTGGCATGATCAGCACATGATGCATCTGGCCCATGGGCAGTGAATTTGACAACCCTGCTGTATTCTAATAGCTTGAAGATGTATGGACTTCAACTCTTAGAATTCCCCAGCTAGCAGTACTACTGCTGTACTATTGTACTACTGTACTACTAAGATGACAATGCCCAGGTACAAAATGTGGAAATCAGCAGACCTAAACATTTGCCAAGTATAAAAAGAACATTACAAAAAACTTGGTGGGAAGAGAATGGACAAATAAACATTTACATACTAAATTGTCATTGGATCCTATTTTTATAGATGATGGAGAATGGGATAGGAGAAGAAACTGAATTAAATAGCTGTAGTTCCCTTTGCTTCTGTTGTATTTTCAAGCTACTTCTATAATGTGTAAGTAAACTGTACAGTAAACTCACAAATTATATACAATAATAGCAATTATGTCATCAATGAAAATGATGATAAATAACTGAAATGTTTAAAATGACACCAACTTTGAACTATTCAGCAATATTGAAAGTGAAAACTCCATAAATTGCCAATAATGCAGTAACTTTACAAGTCATTAGTAAGAGTTGGGGCACAGAATTAAGGATACAAGTCTATGAAAATGTGTTGGTGTGAATGCAAAGAAGGAACGAGGCTTGCCATGCATTGCCAGACTCAAGGAAGGAAGTGGGGAAAGGAGTTGTTAGAGAGTGATAGTAACAATAGCAGGAGTGATGAATTCATGTGTGTTTGAGTCTACATTACGCATACTGCTCCCTCTCTGGCTTGTTTTAGAAATAATTTAATCGTACATTTTTGTTTCCTCTCTTAAAGTTTCTTGATTTTAAAATTGTCACCAGAAATTTTATAATTGTAACTGTGAATTTCCTCTTGATTATTTGTTATTCAATAAATTCCCATGCCATAAGACATGCAATAAAGCCCATACAGTGGTTATGTTGAATGTAGATTGTTTTACAGATCTCAGATGTGGATTCTGTTATTTACTTTGCATTTGATTTTGTTATACTTTGTCTATGTTTTAAGATTGTATTTTGTTCTTTTTGTAGTGTTTAATTTTTGTAAGAGTCACATATTTCCAATGAATAAACATAAAATAAAAAAATATTTAGCAAGAATATAGATAGAACTAAGAGGAAAGGGTACTTCAAAGCAAAAGTGGATGCACTTTGCTGTGCTTGCCCGCAATTCTTTAAAGAAAGTGCACCATTTTCAGGGCTCCCATAGTAGCCACTCAGTTCCACAAAATATCTATCTATCTATCTATCTATCTATCTATCTATCTATCTATCTATCTATCTATCTATCTATCTATCTATCCATCTCTCTCTCTCTCTCTCTCTCTCTCTCTCTCTCTCTCTCTCTCTCTCTCTCTCTCTCAGTTAAGGAAGCTTGATGGAGCTGGCAACAGGATGGAACCGTGAATCTGGAGCTTGTGCAAAGAATTGCTCAGTTGAAATACTGCCATGTAATCTCTGTTAAGAGTGATATGAAGTAGAACTTTTCAACAATGAAATGCCTACATAAATATCAAAAGAAAACATAAGCATAATAAATGGCATGTTTTTCAGGAGTCATCTGGAAACCTAAGCTTTCAGTCATAGTCAGTATACTTCCAATCCTTTAGAATTGTATGAAATTTCTGATTCAAGTAACTCAAGAGGTAATGACTGGGTCACTCAACATCATCATACACATACACAAATGTACATAGATATTTTAGGACCAATTCTGACCGGGCATCTGAATGTTAAAAATGTAAGACCCAGTTATTAATCACTTCCTGAAGCAGCCACCTGTCCTATTTTTAGTACAAAAACATAAAGAATTGCAAAATAATATGTTTTTCTATTTTAAAGGCATTCTCTATCATATGAACTCTCCAGCCCAAGACTTGTTTAAAAACAGATTATCATGAGATATAAAGAATGAAGTATTTACAGATAGTCTTTGACTTACAACCACAACTGGGACTGTAAACTTTGAGTTAAGTGATGCAGTCATTAAGCAGGGCATCGTGTGATTACAGCCAATCTTATGTTTTTCTAGGATTGTTAACTGAGTCACCATGTGATTGTGATTTGTAACCTTCCCTATCAGTTTCCCCTTTGACTTTGTTTGTTGGAAGTCAGCTGGGAATCTCACAATTGTGACCTCTTGTTCCCAGGATCCTGCAACCATTGTAAATGTGAGCCAGTTGGCAAATGTCCAAGTTGTGATCATGTGAAACTCACAGGGATTATGCACAGTTGTAAATGTGAAGACAGATCATAAGTCACTTTTTTCAGTACCGTTGTAACTTCGAATGGTTCTTAAATGAATAGATGTACCTCAAGGGCTAGTAAGTAGTTTCAAACTTTCTCCATGCAAATAAATTTAAAAAGAGGTATAATAACTGCACATTAAAAATAGAAAAATAGCCTCAGTTCCTTAGAGTTATGGAAAAGAAATAATGGTTATGATAATTTATATATTCAATTGCATTATCCACACTGAGAAATATTTTTCTTCCAAAAAATTATTAAAAAGATTATTCCAATCAGTCTATCCTTGATGTGTGAAAGCCATCATGGGCTCAGAACAGAACGTTCTTTTAAAAATGCTCAGAACTGAAATTGGCAAGTCTTAAGATCCTTTGTCAGATGTTTTGGCCTGACTAGAGAGATTGGAAATTATCTCAACACATCTGGAATCATCAGAACTGATAGGAGAACTCCATCATGTGGAGATCAAACCAAAGGCCTTCTCTGTTGATGAGTCCAATGCAATAAGATATTCTTAAGTGTGACATCCTTAAAGAGTTTGCATGACTCTGTCTGCCCCATAAGTGGTCTCCTGCTTGAGCCCTTATGGGGCAGACAGAGAGTCCATGCCTTGAAGACTTCCAAGGTCCCTTCCAACTCTGTTTTTCTATTATCCTGTTGTAGAAGCATGGCATTCAAGTCCATTTCATACAGTAACTGAATGAATGAAAACCCAGAACCTTTGAAAATGCTTATGCATATGCATAGCTACAATGATATACTCACAGCTTTCACAGCGATTTCCAGTATAGCCAGCCAAGCAGGCACATTTGTAATCACCAATTTTATCAACGAGGCAGGTTCCATCATGTAGACATGGAGATGAAGAACAACCTGAAAATGTACAAGACTTCTCAATTCCTTTCACCATCGTTTCTCTCTTTTACACTCCTTTCTGTCTTAGCGAGAGACATTTTAAGTGAGTATTTGGGAGCATGTGATAAAACACCAATATGTCCTGGCTTGAAGCTGTGAGACAGTGATGTTAAAAATGTTTCTACCTAACACCCATCCTCTGCCCCAATAATCCTTTTTGTGAATCAAATTTTGTTGCCCAACTGTTATCAAAAACAAGGTAAAAAAACCAAGATGTGATTGAGATCATTCCATGCTAAAACAAGTATTTTTAAAAATTGAAGCAGTTCCCAAGGGAGAAGCTTAGATCCACAATTTGTGTTTTTAAAGCCAACTTATCTTTGAATAACATATGTGATTAACTGTGTGTCACAACTGCAAAATAATCATTTATAGTTTTAGGAAGTTAGGAATAAAGCAGCATGGAAGAAGCCACAGAGGAGAACTCTACAACTGCATTTACATCAAAAGAGCCTATGGAGATCAAATAGAAGTAAAATGTCAATGAAGACATCTAGGAACACTGCAAGTTGTCTGAAAGAGTTTTTTAATGAAGGTGATGTAAAGCCAAAGTTTCAAAATGAAATGTGCCAGAGGAGACTAAAAGAATCGCACCCATTATTAAATGTACAGTATTGACACTTGTTATATTCATTATATAAGTACCGCTCTGAGTATCATCCTTCAAAGAATGTTTAATGATACATTTTTAAAAACTTAACACTTAGAACTGTTATCTTACAAAAGTTTTCCCCAAACTCCCAGTCAATACATCGAAGTTCATATGATCATGATCAGAAGTTCTCGAGTTGTATTCCAAACTCAGCTGAGGTGGGAAAGATAGTCTTGAAAACATCAGTTTCCTTTTGAGGAACTGTACGGGCTTTCAGTCCATCAATGTGGACCGAACAATAAACACAGGAAGATGGCCAAGGAAATTGTGTTCCTCCACTTACACTGACCTTCAACTACTCTCAAGGCTTTTGTACTGGGAAAGATTTCACACAGCGGCAGTTTGTTAAGTTTGTGTTGCTGTAGGTCCCACAGCTCAGACAAAATTTCTTCCATCCCCTTTGCTCATCATGCAAAGCACATCCTTTCTCATCAACAGTTTCAGGGAGCAGGTTAATGCTTTGCCAAGGAAAGTGTTTTAAAAGTTTTTCATTTGAGCTGTATACAGTCAAGCTGGAGTCTGTTCTGCATAGATTATCGGAATAGCACCAACCTTATCTCTCCATAATTGCTGCTAAAAACTGGGGCGGAAATAAAGGGGGGGTGGCAGTAGCAGAATACCAAGCGGTTCCCACTGAGAAGAAGAATTGAGAGCTATTAATCCCCCCTTGTATGGAATGTGTTAGTCCCTTGAGGGTGGGAGGCCTTTCTGCAACATATCCCACATCAAGTCCCATTTCATGGAGTCGACTTTTGTCTTTTTAAAGACCCTTTAATTAACATAGCCCTCCTTCTAGCAGCTACTGTGGTGGTACTGTTTGTACTTTATGTAATAACAAGGGAGGGAAAAATCATGCCCAGTAGATCAAATAGGGACACAATCTAAAGTAGACTGAGCAATGGACTTTGAAGCAACAGGGCAATATTTGAGACCTTTTCAAGATTCTCAAAGGCCTTCCGGCAGAAAGCCATTGGAGCCTCCTTAATAGTCTTGGTCTTGTATCCTGTCAACATTATTTTTTTTCTTTATTATCAATTGTCCATTGCTGTCAATACCCCAAGACAAATAAGAATGGGTGGAGAGATCCAGCATTCTAAGTTCATTCTTGGGAATGGACTTGAAAAGATTCAATTCGCCGGCTTGAAAAACAATTTTTGATCTACCTGATTGTTTCAAATAGCAAGGTATGTCTTGAATTCAGCCTTAAGTGGGAAGCTGAGGACTAGTCATTTTTCAATACTTCACTGTGCTGTTTTTGATATGGAACTCTCTCACAATTTTCATAAAACGGTAGTATTGTGAAACAAACCAGTTTATCTAGGAGGCCACATAAGAACTCTAAGTATAGATCAATGTAGTGTTGCTATGCATATGTACACATTACACTATTCTCTTTGGGGGTAAACATCATTAGGCAAAGCACAGAAATGAATTAAGGCATGAGATAAAGGATAGAAAAGGAAGCTACTGTATGGCTAGTTCTAGTTTACCTCTTGCTACTCTTCTGTATTTCTCTTTCTATATAAACCATCCTCTTCCACCACTGCTTACACTGTCTTTGTCCCTTAATCTTCTCCCAGCCTCTGTGTTGCCTCTATGCTCACTGTTGTTGTCTTTTGAATAGCGGAACAATAGCATCATTCTTCCAATTATTAGGCTCAGACACCATCTTCACACATAATTAAACAAGAAGCACAAATTTTCCATAAGCCGATTGCATTTTAATTTTTCTCCACTTAAATCATCTACACCTATAACCTTTCCATTTTTCAACATTCTCACACTGTACTTTTTGACAGGTAACTACCATTCCTGTATACATGTCTAAAGTACTTCTTCAAGCATTTACTCATTTTAAGTACTTCCCAAATCCTTATTTTTATAATTCCCTTTATTATGTTGCCCTTGTCATGCACTTAGCCCTTATCATCCATTTCCAAAATAATAATTTATTTCCATCAAAACTTTTTAATGCCTATTGCAATCTGTATTGTTGACTGTTCTCTAATTCATTCCTACTATCTTTTTCTCTATACGTAGCTTATAGAATTTTTTCTCCCATCCTCATTTTTATAGCAATCATTTCCTTTTGGGTTTTATTAAATTTATACACTGACTAATTTGGAAATCAAAGTCCAATTTTAACCCAAGCAAGCTCATGGAATTCTATACAGGCCACACTGCAAGCCTACAACATGCCATTGTTCAATGCCAATAACCTACCAACCATGCACTGTAATGACAGGTATACAACATCACAACCAGTTAAAACTATTTTACTGCTTCATATTTATTATCCCTAGATCTATCTTACAACAAATTTGACACAAATTCAGAAACTGGGTCAATTTATTTGAGCCCTGCTCAAATGTAGGTAAAACTCAATACATTCAACCCCTTCTCCTAAGGTGCTGTGCAGACCTTCCATGCATTCTGTTCTTCAGCAGGATCTCATTCTGCCTCTATGAGGAACTGTTCCCTCACTCATTTTTGCCTCACTATTGGGCTATTTATTCTCTATATTTCCATTGGTAGCAGGAATTCCAGATCAGTTTCACAATGCCTTTTAAGGGAAGTGGGATAAAAATAGTAGTATAGTTGCATTGAAGTGACAATAATAAAAAGGAAGTAGCATGTTCAAAGAATTGTATGAATGAATACATGTAAGTTCTTAGGATTCCAATTAACTGTATAGGATGCAATTAGCTGTATAGAAGAAAATATGGTGGATAGAATTTTGCTTCTTATTTGTAAAAAAATATATTAATATCCATAAAAAAGCATGTATCTCCCAACGTGATGGGACTTGGTTCTTGTCCTATGCCTTAGATAGGGTGCTGTGGAATTTTAGTGGTAATAGTTTCTGTTTGAGATAGTGTGTTTGTGGGTTAGTAGGATAATATAATCATGGCATCCTTCTTTCTAGTGTTTTTTTTTTAAATTTTGTTATTCTTTCCTACTTTTAATATAAGCTACCCAGAGTTGTTTTGGGTAGCTTCTAAATTCCATAGATAAATCCATTTCATAAATAAATTATGACATTTACCCATTGTAATGTTGCTTTCCTACACAATCCTTATTCATCACTGCCAGTGTTGTTATTCTCTTCTTCTATCTACTTAAAACTATGGGTAAATCTTATATCACAATCAACCTAAAGGTGACCTCAAAGACATTTGGTCTGATTAGATAAGAATGCATGTTTGCAGCTTCCAAGAATTGGGAACTGGTTATTTAAAAAAAACACTAGAAAAATTGGGTTGTTTGTAGATAATATCAGCCATGGATCACAATTTTTACAATTGTAATTGAGCTTGCTTTCATATCAGGACCTCAATATAACGCATTTCAATAGCATTAAAAAGTGAATAAAATTACAAGATCAAGCTATTTTCGTTAAACGTATTGCTTACCTGTAATTTCTTCAAAAACTGCATGAAATCCATCAAAATTTTTGGAACCATCTGAATGAAAAAGGACATGAAGGGAGGAGCCAGTGCTTCGTATTGGGAGAGGCCTGTCATTGCCACAGAAGCGTTTAATTAACTTGCTGTCAACACTGTCCCCATCACGGACTTCCACATAATCGTACTGACACATGTAGTCAAACTCTACACTCAGCATGGCAAACCTTGACCGGAAAGAAAGAGACAGAACGAGAGAACAGCGTCAGACACCAAAGTTATATCTCTGTGCTCTTTGTGCTATAGAAGGGATCTCCAACCTTTGTTTCCAACCTCCTTGGTTTTCCTTGGTGCTTTTTGGATGAGAAGTAAAACTTCTTCAAGGAAAACAAAGGAGGTTACAGTTGCCTTTTGAAGGACAACCATGACCGGATGATTGAGAATCTCCATAGACACATAGAGAAATAATGTCTTAATAGTAAAGAACATGCCTTCGTGAACAAATTTCTAGTTCATTCGTGGAATGATCTTCCATTAATAAAGATGGCCCAAGAGCCAATAAACTGAGAATATATCCTGTCGCATTAATTTTAAATGTTTTTAAACTGACAGAGAAAGACAAAGACAAGCATTTATTTATTTAGATACTTGTATTCTGTGATTGAAATTAATAGCTCTGGTGAGGAGTCAGTAAAAATTCCTTTGGTGCCAGGTTTGAAATATTAGCCTGATACCTCAACACACCTTTCTCCAGGACATATAAAAAGAAAATTCAGTGTATTAAAATCCTACCTTAATTCAACCACAAATCCAGGTTTGGCATGTATAATCCACTCGCACTGGGCATTCAGTGGATAGCTCTCCAATAAAATCTGACCCTTGGAAGCTTGAAGAATCTGTCCACACCCTAGAGGGAAAAAGAAGAAAAATCACATAGGTATTAATAGAAAATTTATCTCAGGAACAATGACAAAATACAAGTTATTGATCATATGCACATGAGAAAATCTTCTCAAATACCTGACTAATTTACATGACTAAATAACTAAATGAAGTATTGAATAAAAGAGACATCAGCAACTGGTTAATAATTAGCACAAGTCTTGACATATAACACATCAGACCACAAAATATCATGATACTTAAAACCAGAAAAGTTGAAGGATTATATAGGTAGTCCTCAATTACACCACAATTGAGCCCAAAATTTATGTTGAAAAACTTACGTTGCTAAGAGAGTTTTGCCCCATTTTATGACTTTTCTTGCCACATTTGTTAAGTGAATCACTGCAATTGTTAAATTAGCATCACGACTGTTAAGTGAATCTGGTTTCTCCATTGACTTTTCTTGACAGAAGGTTGCAAAAGCTGATCACACGATGCCGGGACACTGCAACCGTCATAAATGTGAGTTGGTTGTCAAGCATCCTAATGTAAATCACATGTGTCAGCATTCCGGGAATTACAGCCATTGCAATTCAGAACTCTGAGGCAAATCGATTCCTCAAAAAACCATTTTTATTGGAAATATCATTCTGGCATAAACTAGTAAAAAGCCAGTTCTGAATCTTCCTGGGCTTTTCACAACCTTAAAAGAAAAAGAGGATGCTTCAATGATATTAAGTGTGAAAAATGGTTGTGTCACTTTTTTCAGTGCTGTTGTAACTTTGAATGGTCACTAAGTAAAATGTTGTAAGTTGAGGACTATCTGTATAGCATAAACAGGCCACGATCCCATTGGTTATCAGCACACTGGACGACATACCAAAAAATCTTGAAGGGCACTTAGAAAATTTATACATTAACAATATTTCTATCTGTCCAGTTGCAAAAGGCAGGTTTACTTGGAAAAGCTTATCCTGCAAAGATACTTCAACACCATTAAATAACATCTATCTACCCCAGATCCTCTGGGAAGGACAGAAAAGATGGATAAAAATGCCAAAACATCTGGCTGGCTAAGCAATCAACCATAATAGGACTTTCCTTGCTTTCCTCACGAAAAGTAATTGCTTACATGAATTTACTGTGGCAAAAATTGCAAAAATAGTGACACAGGGTTTTTTTCAGTCTTAAGTTCTAATACACAAACAAGCAAACAATACAAGGAGCCCAAATACAGTACAGAATGTAAAACTATTATTTTGGTATTGGCTAGTAAGAACTGTTACACAATAGGACTCTTGCTTAGCTCCATCAGATTTCAAAAAGCATCCATCAGGAAAACATTTATGGAACCATGGCCATTAAGAAGCACTGGTGGCATTCCAAGAAGTGTTTACATTGAAACTCTGGGAATTCTTAATACATTTAAAAAATTCCAAGTAAAAGGAGGCTCATCCAATGAACAGTGATGTGGTTGAATCATCTTCAGTAACATGCCAAATGTCCTATCTCAGAATTTCCTGTATCCTTCCTTGTTAAGATTTGTCCATTCCTATAAATGTAAATCATTTGCTGGTTTACCCTCAATTACCCTCAGCTATGTAGATTCCAATAAAACACAGAACAAGCTCAGAAGGGTCTGTCACAAGTGCTTCATTCCACACCAGGGCTTCTTGGCTCCTGATGTGAAAAAACTGGAGAATTAATTACATTGCCCCCATGACTGTCATTAGGATGCTGTTGAGATATACCAGGATCCGCTGGAAACTAATGTAGCTTCCCACACTAGGGAGAGGAAACGTAGCACAGTTGCTGGCTCTCCTCTCAAAACAACCTGAGACAAAGCTGCAGGAAACCTTCTTCAGAAGGCTTGACAAGGGTCCTTGAATCACCTCAGAGAACATTCCCTTTTCATTATAAGGGGGCTTTTCTGTTTCCTTTCTTTCTCTTGCCATTGGCAAGAGAGAACTGGTGCAAAGAGATGGTGCCCGTGCACGGAATACTGAATGCACCTTTCTTTGGAGAACAGTACAGTTTGAACTTGTGGAACATTTCTGCCAAGGAAGTAGCACTGCCCAACAAAGCAGGTGGTCCAAAGGCTAAAGAGAGAGCCATTCAAAGAATGCTCCAGAGAAACAAGCGCCACAAACCATTTCTGCGTGAAACATATACATGGTCAGATCCAATTGTCATTTTTCTGTTTCTAATCCATCCATCAGAGGGATACATGATACCTGCCCATCCTTTGATATTTAATTATCAGCCAGGCAGCTTCCAACCGAAACATGCTTTTATTTCTAAAGGAAAGAGAGAGAAAGGCAGGGAGGGAGGGAGAGAGAGATATTTGAAAAGTTTCAAGAATAATTTAAATGCTGAACATAAATCCTGTCTTGTCTTGAAGGAGAAAGAAGAGGTGCTTAGGAAGGGGAGTTGGAAAGAAATCAATTCTGAAAGACTGTAATAATCACTGTTCCTTTTGTGTCTGAAAAAAAGTTGGCAAAACTTTTTGGAACATATTTTTTCCCTGAGGACAAAGAATTACAGTAAATATACTAAAAGTAACGAATATTTTAAATATAACTTTGTTCTTAAATAAGTGGCCATGAAATCCACCATAAAAGACAGAACCACAGATTTAAATCTAAATAGTGCCAGAACTTTAGATTTAAATTCTGGCTTCTGAATGCTGTAAGAGTACCATAAATTGGAAGAAAAGCATGCCTGAAAATAAATGGTATGCTTGCTGAATTATTCAATATTCAAAACAGAGAATACGATATGAGAATGCAGTATCCCCTCGATTGTTCAATATGTTTATGGATAATTATGCTTATAGTGAAATTAGAAGTTCATTGAGTTGTAAAGTAAATATGTGTATTTTCATATATAGACAATGCCATGTAGAATACTCAAAGGATTTGCAGCAAATGTTAAATTGTGTGATGCACAGAGATCATGGATCTGTGACAGAGAAAACAGAGTAAATGCTGCAAGTTACTTCTTATTGATAAAGCCAGCAAGCAGATAAACAGGCATATCTTGGTAGAATGCTTGCAAAATTGTAGAAAAATGGACTTTAAAAAAGACTATAAATGCTGGTAGAAAGCAGTAGAAACTGGGTAGTACAGGTAGTCCTCAGACCATGTATTTAACAATAGTTCAAAATTGTGTCAATCGTGGAAAGAGTGACTTGTAACTATCCTCAAAGTTATGACCCTTGCACAGCCTCCCTCATCATATGATTGTAATTTGTGTGTTTCGGATACACACATTTGCAATGGTTGCAGCACCTTGTGATCATATGATTGTGATTTGCAACTTTCCTGGTCAGCTTATGCCAAGCAAAGACATTTGGGGAAGCTGGATTCACTTAACAACCATGGCAATTCATTTAATGACCATGGTAAAATGGTCATAACATTGTTTATTGACCGCATCGCTTGGTGACCAAAATTCCAGTCCCAATTGTGGTTGCAAATTGAGGAATACCTGTATGTGGGATGTTGCAAGATATAAAAGCTGAACCATGCTGTGTATAAGAGTGTACTTGCAAATGAAGTGAGTGCCAAGTGTGTTAGATAAAACTTTAAAGTCAGTTGAATATACTGGAAATGGTTTTACTTCAGAAGACTGTACAGCAGAGGTGGAACTCAGTAGGTTCTGGAGAACTGGTAGCGGAAATTTTGAGTAATTCACACTACCCCTGACTGGAGATTTTACAGTATCCTTCCCCTGCCAAGCCCACCAAGCCACACCCACAGAACCGGTAGTAAAAAAAATGGAATCCCACCACTGCTGTACAGTAAAACAGAAAGACATGTTCCAGTATAAATGGATAATTAAGAAATATGGATTGAATACAAAATGAGTTACCAGTCCAGATCTTCACTGGAAAGGCTATCATATAAAATGAAAATTAAATCCAAAACAAAGAGCTGGATGGAAAAAATTAAGGAGTTTAAAAAGCAAAAGATAGTGTAAAATTTGCTATTTTGCTATACGGACATGTAGGAAGCTACAATATTTGCAAAGTTAGTTATGGAGAATGTTGTGAATTGTATTGATATGGACCAGGTTTAGTTAGATTTGTTCTTCTCTTTTCTCCTACCTTTATGATGTTTTGTTGACTTACTCTCTTTTTGCATGACACAGAAAGTTGCTTATCCCAAACAAAAAAGTAAGTTGGATATCTATACAGTATATGAGTTTAGTATGGGGTACTTATATGGCTGAACCAGTTAGCAATAGGAATTTATCATTTTAATTTATTTGTATGTGAAAAATGTTCGTGAAAGTTGAAAATAATAATCAGGATGCATATGTTTGCATATGTTTAATCTGAAGCATGTTACCAGTAACTTTATGACTAATTATAACAGGAACACCACATGGTATAGTATATACCACGGATGTTAAACTCGATTGTGTCATGTGACATATTGCAACCGTCAATTAAAAAGATGCTCCTTTGGTCTTTTTAGCTGCCAGAAAAAGGGAGTGGGGGAAAACAAGGCATCCCTTAAGTGCCTAGATAATCACCCCGGCAGCCCAAAGTTGTCGGAGCATAAGAAGGTTATTGGAGAGCATGATTGATGACTCTTGGAGATGGATGTGTCCTATGGAGAGGTCACATCCAGGGGGTGGGGGGAAGACCAGGGTGAAGGGGGAAAATGTATGATGTAATTTAGTATCAGCTGCACCTAGCTAACGCCAACATGGCCACTTCTAATAAATCAATTTTCTTTTCTCTGAGATGCGGCTAGAGACTTTTGATTTGAATGGGGGTGGATTTAATGGAGCCCTGACAGCAACATTTTTTGCCTTGGCAGAACCGGGATGGGCGTGGCCTGCACATGATGCATCTGGGCCGCCATTTTGACACTCTTGGTATATACAGTACAACAAAAAAAACCTAACAAAGCATTTAGGGCTGGAGCTGAACTACTGGATGACAAACTGCTGTCTTCATTACAGCAGCTACAGCACAGATATCAGTGCCTGATGGAGACAACTGTAATGGCAATGGGTGCATCATTACCAGTTCTGAAAGATTAGGTTAGGTACATATCATCACAGAAAAACAAGAGTCAACAACAACTAATCGATCAATCAATCACCAGTGTCTGAAACTAGTTTCATGAAAACCGCTTGAGAAACGGAAGCTATTCTAGGGATCAAAGATGAAATTCTCTACATCTTATTGAAAACTGAAAATAAATTGTTACAATGAGATGGTAGCCCTCTGAAAGAATTATTAATAACCTCAAATGTGAAAATACTGCTTTCGCAAGTAACATAATAAGACTTATCTACACATAGTTGTTAGCCTACTTCTTTTTCTTTCCATTTACATTATTCCTTAACACATCTCTACTCTCTTCTTCATCTTCTTTCTTCACTTTCATCCTTTCTGGAAAAAGTGAGGAGAATATGACGATGCATCTAGGCTTCTGTGGGACATTGTTGGCTGTGATAGAGAATGATAGATATATGTAAATGAAGATAACTGATTCTGTAAATGTACCAGATTTACAGGCAATGGATTGATTTTCCCCAGGTGATCTACTCCCAATCTGGCCATTCAGATCTTCCAATGATGCATATTGCTGTTGTATTTATGTTACACCACCTTGCTGCTCCTCATCTTTTCCTCTTTCCCCATCTTTCCCTGACTTCTGAGGAAAACAGGATCAAAATAGGACAATTTGACCCTAGTCATTTGTGCTTTGAGTGAGGACTCTGGATAGATTTGTTCTATGAGCCATTTCTTTGCTTTCTTGGCAATCCATGGAATTCTCATGAGTCTTCTCCCACGCTGATTTTCAAAAGCATAATGCTTTTTCTATCTTGCTTCCAGGGGTGGGCTTCAAATTATGTAACAACTGGTTCTCTGCATGGTTGCTGGGTGGGCGTGACCATGGTGGGCGTGGCCTAGTCGGCCTCCTGCACCATTCTGGTTGTGAAAACGGGCCACGGGGGAGGGCGTTTTCAGCCTCCCGGGCTCCAGAGGCTTTCTTTGAGCCTCTGGGAGGGCGAAAATGGCTTCCCCAGTCTCCAGAGGCTCTCTGGAACTTCAGAGAGGCCCATTTTCTCACTCTCCCCGAGCCTCCACACAGGCCTGCAATTACCTGCAATCCAAAATGGGCCGCTTGGGGACTCCTGGTTGGGGCAGGCTGGGGTAGGCAGGGTCAGCCAGGTGTAGGATATTTCAGTTCATTGAACTGACCATAAAATTAACAACCAATTCACCTGAACCAGTGAGAACCAGTAGCAGCCCACCCCTGCTTGCTTCTGGAGAATCCAGTTTTTGCTTCCATACACTGTCACAGGGAAAAGCATTGCCTGTTCATTTTTGATCATTTTAGATATAGACAAAGCACAACATCTGAATAACTTTTCTAAGACCTCCATTGCTACATTACATTATATACAGACAAGCATTTGGTAAAGTTTAACTTTACATTGTCCTATTTTAAGTGATAATAGCTAGCACTACAATTTTATTCACATGTAACTGAATTTAAGGTCCACTTAATACAATGGCATACCTCTTGGCAATTATGTATGGGAATGCTCTATTCCTGTGGTGCCTTTACTGGTAGCAAAAAGAGAACCTTTTTTTAAAAAAATGATGTGTTTTACAAGGTAAGTTTGCAGTGAAAGAATCGCAGACATTTATATTCAATCTACTCTTTAGATCAACATATTTCCAAAACTCACAATTCAATGTGGTTTTTTTAAAAAAACAGAACTAATTTCATTCAGTCAGTATTGCAGTAAGGCAGAACATTCAAAATGCTGCAGTGATGAAATTTTGCATATTCTCCTTACAGTCTTTGCACATGCAATGATTTCTCACTAATCTGTAACAAGAAATTATTCTATTCCCCCCACCCCACCCCCAAGAATCAACTTATATTCTTATTTGTCCAGGCAAATCTCATATGCACCACTTACAGGATAGGTCTTGGTACTACAATCAAGACAGCGAATAAACAGAAAGAGAAGAATTTCCAGGCCTTGAGATGTGCAAAGGATTGTGCCCCTGAACCAACATATTTCTCTTTGGTCATTCAGTCCATATGGTCTAATTTTCTACAAATGCAGATAGTGTGTGTGTGTGTGTGTGCACGTGCGCAAACCGAGCAATGAATATTTTCCTTACACTTTCTTCAATTAACTATTCCTGCTGATTGCCCATCACACACACACACACACACACACACGAATGATGCTACCCATACCTGAAAAAACAATTCAACTTATCTTTTGCTAAAGAAGCACCTCTCCCTCCTCACCCAAAAGCCCTGGAAAAATATTCAGATTAGGCATAAGGACCTATTTCACTCAGGAAAAATATTACAGTGAAAATTTAAAAACCAGGGATAATGATATAACTGTAATAATATTACAGTTACCTGTAGGTGGGTTGTTGATAGAAGCTTTCACCTGTAGTCTTCAAGGAGTGCCAGACAATTCATCTGCTAACAATGCTCTACTTTACAATTTCCTGACCAAGCAGAGATCTATAAACTGCCTCCTATAAACTGTAGGAAAACCTAGACAGCCTCCTCCAACTCCCTCCTTCTCTCTGGCAATGGCTGTATTCTACAGAATACTTTGCACTCTGGTTAGAACCCAGGATACCAGATCTGTGCTGTGCAGATTTAGATAACCATTAGATGGCAGCAAAAGGTTACAGAAAACTAAGCATTGTCCATAACAATCTGCATTTGGGTGCCCTTAGAGCTCTGGGAAATAGAATGGAATCCTGGGAAAAGAATTGGAGAAATACTTTTGGCCTATAAAGCCCCCGTAGTTCAGTATGAGATAATTTCCTAACCCTTAAAAAAATCATCTTTGGCTGTATTGTCTTATATTTTCAAATTGAGTGTCAATGGCCATGCAAAGGATTAGGAATTTGTCTTTGCTTTGACATTAGCAGCTCATTTTGCTGGACGAGCTACAAGGAGTTTTTTTTTTCCCCTTTCCCAGTCAAAGCATCAGCTCTCCTTGTGGTAAAGTGCATCTCTAACCAATACTTACTCATGCAATCGCCTCCATACCACCCAGCTCGGCATTCTGCACAATAAATGCCTTTGATGTAGAAGTTGTCTAGTGATCCTCCCCAAGACCCATTGCGACAGGTCTTACAATTCTCGAAAATCATGCATCCTGAAAGAAGAGGAGATAAATTCTTTAATTACGAATGCTTACATTTGGGTTTCTCCGACAGGTAGCTGCAAACCATAGCCCATGCAACTTTGGCTGTATAAAATGTGCCTTGGGAAAGTCCTTTCAAGCAAAACACTCTTCTAAGCCAAACACACTCAAACATAAAGAAAATATAAATATAATTATGAGGTTATAAATACAGTGATAAGCCAAACACACTCAAACAAAAAGAGAATATAAATACAATTATGAGGGCTGGATACAAAAATTTACAGACATGAATTTTCCTGTAGTCTATAATGATTGAAAAAGAGATGACATGATGACATGACAACACAACCACCATTTTCATACTTACACTCTAATGTAAGATGCACATGCTAAAGTCATGGGGTTTGTATGATGATGCCACAATATATGTTTCTTCACCTGGCCTCTCTTGCCATCACTCACAGATGCCTATAGCTATTGCACTCAGGCTTTCTCTTATTGATCTCTTCCTCTTTTTTCCTGAAAATCCTCTTGTTTAAATGAAATTTACTTCCTGAACATCCTATATTGTTTTATATCAAATCAGATCAATCTAAACTAGAATTTTAATTTCAGTAATGCCCCCAATGATGGCTCAAATATTAGATAAAATTCAGTACTAGTTTCTGCCCTAAAATTTATGAACAAGAGTTCACTTGCAAATTTCAACATAAATATATTATTCAACATAATAAAAAGGAGGGCTGTGTGTCATTCAAAAATTATTTAGAAGGGGTACTTTGGATCACATATAGATGAAAGTGCAGCACTTCTTTAAAGCCAGTTGCATCTTCTTCTGGCTTCTGTGTGAGTTAATATATGACATTAAGGATACAGCTGTTTTAATGCCTCAACATTAAAGTTTACAGCAGTTTTCACTTATTTAGGCTCATTTGGAAAATCTGAAAGAGGATATGGTGGCTTTAATAAGAATTTACACTGACAATCCCATTTGGCCTGAGGGGCATCCTCTGAATAAGTTTCAAATCAGGCAGAATCCTATTGATACATATTCTTAGCAGTCTTATAAGCTGCTTCTTTATATCCTTTATCTTCAAAAATTTTCCTCAGCTGACTTTGAAATCAATAATAATTCTTTTCTATTTTTTAAAAAGAAGATAGTGTGCAAACTAGGCCTTGGAGACTGAACTGTAGCCTCCACCTAGTACTGAAGCCCACTGTGGCTTTTTGGAGAGCTTCCAGGCATCCGTGACAATATCCTGAAATGTGAGTTTCTATCACTAGCAAAAAGAAAAAAACTAACAACAATATTCATTAACTTTCATCACAGTGAGCATTTATATTGGCATCCATCCATCCATCTCTAAGGAGGAAAAAACTATTAATCATCAAAATCTGGCAGACAAAACAGACTGCATGCTCCACCTAGCTACAAGCATATTTACTGCATGTAAATTAAACATACAGTAAATAAGAGAGTAGAAGTGGGCACATCAAAGCAGTACAGTATATCAACATACCAGGGTGAATTAGGCAGGAGTCACATTCATTGTCCTCATTCCTACAACAAGGAATAGTGTATCCCACTACTTCTTTCTGTCCAGGACACACACATTTGATCTGATCATATTCACAACACTCCCGACACATGATATTCCATTCAGCACCTGGACAGTTTTCATTGATCACAGTGTACTCTGCAGGAAAGCAAAATGAGAGTTATATGAGAAAGAAGAATTAACTGTTGGCAGAACATAATCCTTGTAACTAGAAGTCAAGTGATGTATTATACAGGGACATTTCTTTTTATTATAAAATTAAGCTAGAGGGGAGAAGGTCTGCCAGTTGGAACAGAGGAATAGGAAGGGGCTACTCAGTCATTTATTACATGTCATTTTATCCACCAGAACTGCCTACCAGTTGAAAATCCCAGAAGAGGGTGGGGGGAATGGAATACAGAGCTTTGATTAGGAAAGTAACATGGACTACTATTCAATTAAACTGCCGGCATTTAATGACTGCAATTTATTTCATAAAAAGAGGCATTCCATTGGAAGATGCGGCCATGGCTCCCTACTGCTACATATTATGTGGCTTCATAAAAGAAAGCCATCTTTCATTTATACCACTTCCTAAGAATAAAAACACTATGCAAGGGTTTCTTTATTAACTGTTTATTATGAAGGTGTTTTTTTTCCAAATCAGAAAACAGGTAGTCCTTGACTTGCAATCACCAATGAGAGCAGAATTTCTGTTGCTAAGCAAAGCAGCTGTTAAGTGACTTGTGTCCGATTTTATGATGTTTTTGGCCATGGTTGTTAAGCGAACCACTAAAGCTGCTAAGTGAATCATGTGGTTATTAAGCAAATCTGTCTTCCACTGTTGACTTAGCTTGTTGGAAGCTCCCAGTAAATGGTGATCACATGACCTTGTTGCAAACATTGTAAATACATGTTGGTTGCCAAGCGCCCAAATTTTGATCAATTGACCAGAGGGATGCTAGTAAGGTCATAAGGGTTAGGACCATTTGTAAGTCACTTTTTTCAATACTGACGTAACTTCGAAAGATTGGTAAATGACATTTTTTTAGAAGTTTTATATCCTTTTTGAATCTTTATTTAATCCAAGGAATTAAAAGAATAAGTTATTTCTGAACATTCAAAATATAATAAAACTATGGAACATCCAACCTGTAAATTTTTACCAGGCCAATGAAATAAGAACAATTTTCTTGGTGTAGCTGCAGGGGTAAGCTTCAAAAATTTCAGCAACAGGCCCATTTCCGGTGTTCCGGAACTTCCAGGAGGCCTATTTTTCGCCCTCCCTGAGCCTCCACTCTGCACTTACCTCACATCCAAAACGGGCAACATGGAGACCCCTGGGAGGGGTGGGGAGGGGCGAAAAGGGCAGGGTGAGCAGGGCCAAACAGGGGTGGGGTTTGGTGATTCACCAACCAGCCATAACGTTAGCTATGGGTTCGCCAACCAGGTGAGCAGCCCACCCTTGTTTAGCAGTCATATTCACACATTATAAACACCTCAATCACAAGGACTCCCACTCTGTTCAACATTGACATGCAACCTCAGAGGGAGATGAGCCTCAATTCTGAAGTGAAACATCACTTTGCATGACCACACCCAGCTTTGTTGCTCATCAGCAGCCTAGATTAACTTAACAACTGTGTTAGTAATTTAACAACTTCAGTGATTCCTTTAACAAGTAGGGCAGGAGAGGTTGTAAAATGGAACAAAGCCCATTAAACAACGGACTTGCATAGCAACACAAATTTTTGGCTCAATTGTGGGAGTAACTCAAGGACTACTTGTATGTATCTGGAGCTTCTGCATTCCTGCACTCAATGGAGGAAGCAAGAACATTTCAAATTTCCCTAATTTTCTGTTCTGAAATGAATGGATTTGATATGACCATGCCCCTGAATATGCTAGTTGTTACGGACTGAGTATATGTATATGCTTTCAGGTGAAAAAAAAAGAATTAAAACAGAAGGTACCAATCTCTGAAATATTTACAATAAAAAGTATATGTTCTAAATATTTCTAATTATTCAGTCTATTAGGGAAAGGAACAGTGTTATAAATATTAATAGAAGCATTATGATTAGTAGTGCTAGTAACTAGAACGAATTCATTTTCTAGTAATAAAAAATAAAGGCATCTAAAGGCATTATAGTTATAATAATTTATACACAGTTGTGCTTTAGGGCATTCCGTCTTAAAAATGTACATTAATTTCCAGGCACTTAATCCTAATATATTATGCTCCATTGAAATATACTTATCTGCAAGTATTACTGGGTTGAATAGGCAAAATCTTGGCATGAAAACAGAGAACTGAACTCCAGCAATAAATTTATATTAGCAGATCTGTTGCATGGCCTAATTTATCTGTATGTTATTTGTTTGCTAATCTCAATAATAAAGCACTGCTCCAAGGAAAATGTAAGGTTTACTGAGAATGAAACCCATCAAGTATAAAGTGTTATTAAAACAATTGTGCTGATTTTTTTTTGTAAAATATTACTTTTGAGGGGTCTACTCTGATTTCATTACGGCTTTTACAAGCAGATGGGATTATTTAATTAATCAATGACTGTATAACCAGGACAGACCACATAATGCTCTCAATGAGATATGGCTTGCATAACCCATTGAAGTGGTTTATTCATATTTATTACAATTAATGCTGCCATTTTAAAGCAATGAAGGGCAGTTAAACGTGCAATTTGATTCTGAATGAACATTAAAAGTCTTTGAAGGTAACACCTTCTACAAAATAAGTCCTCTAGGAAATGACACTGATTAGTTTTGAAGAAATGATTCTCGCATGCAGGACACATAACTCACTTCAACCAAACATTTAAGGTGTAGGAGAAGGCTGTAATGTGGAAGACTGCTTGTAGCCTTCTACTGCAGCTCTAGCTTCTCAGCTACATGACTTTAGGATTATCCATGGCACATTGTTAGAGCAACCCAACCCAGAAAAACCTTCAGCTTGTGGTCCAGAGAAGGTTGCCTTTGACTCAAACTGTGGGCAACCTCATAAAATTCACCAAAGCCACCCAACTTGAAATCACATCAGCTAGTGCTATAGAAAAAGGTTTTTCTCAGCCTTCTCCCAAGTTCTTCAAAAGAAGGCTGAGAGGGCCTCCAAGGAAAGAACATAATCATGGAATTGGGTTGCTTCCCAAAGCAGCTTTGAAGTGTTTTGCTCTGAACCTTCACTGAAGTGAAACGTTCTTTGAGGCTTCACAGAGCCCTATGTCAGCCTTACCAGGTAGATCAGATAGAAAACATGGTCCGATAAGCTACCTCTACTTTATTGTAAAGCTGCATTAACAGAATCTTGCAGGTCTGAAAATACAATTCTCCTGTGTCATCTTTACAGACTTATAACTTAGGTAGAATTTCTCCTGAATCTCTTGCAGCTGTTGGCTATACTCCCTTATCCAACTGTTCCTTAAGCATCTTTTTGCCAGTCTCCCAAGGTCTTTCCCACATACCATTATACCCTAACAAATATTCCTGAATTTTGTTAAAATCACTTGATGTAGTTCTTCATTACTAGGGTTTACAGTGGAATTGTGACATTTGGTCATATTTTAATGAAATATAAATATCTTGATCCAAACACTCATCCTCTTAGGTTCTATCTTTTTTTCAGAGAGTAGACAGCCCATCTTTTTTTCACATAAAGAAGATACTAAACCTATTGTTAGTATCTAGAGAAATTCATTACAAAAGTTCTTTGGAAGACACTGGGACATGAACAAGTGCTGTCCACTGCTCTTTATTGCAGCCATACAGCAGTCACATGATCTTGGGAAAATGCATGGATGCTTTAAAGATCTGACTAAAGTCTCCCAGTATAGAAGAGTAGGCAGAAAGCCTTGAATGAATACACAAAGTTGAAAAGTTGAAAAGCATTGAAAAGTTCATCCTACTTCACGGTCAACATTAATTATGGGAAAACATAATTGCCTATCAAAATGTCAAAACTTGCAGAAATAGTGAAACTGATCTGTTTGACCACATAACAAACAAAAACTTTTATGAAAGACTGGAAATTTTATATGGACTTCATGCTGAAAAAATAAAAAGAAATGATGATTTATGTATGTGAAGAAACATATCAATTAAACCAAAGAGTAAGGTGATTTGTAAAATATTTAAGAGGAAAGAGGGACAATAAGAATGTAACTATGTTAAAAAGAAGGTACAAAACCACTTACATGTTTCCTTCCTTCCTTTCTTTCATCCTTCCTTCCTTCCATCTTTTATCAAATGAAGACTCTTAAGTATAATTTTTAAAAAATGGAAAACGGAGTTACATTCTGGTAAGTAAAGGTAAAGGTGAAAGTAAAGATAAAGGTTCCCCTTGCACATACATGCTAGTCATTTCTGACTCTAAGGGACATTGCTCATCTCTGTTACAAAGCTGAAGAGCCAGAGCTATCCGAAGACGTCTCATGTGGGCAGCATGACTAAATGTTGAAGGTATAGGGAATGCTGTTACCTTCCTACCAAAGTGGTCCCTATTTTTCTACTTGCATTTTTACATGCTTTCAAACTGCTAGGTTGGCAGAAGCTGGGACAAGTAATGGGAACTCACTCTGATACATGGTGCTATGAATTTGAACCGCCAAACTGCTGACCTTTCTGATTGGCAAGCTCAGCGTCACAGCCACTGAGCCACCGCATCCCCTATCCTGTAAGTAAAGATTATGTAATTCATTTGTAGTAATCAGTTTGGTCTAGAGGTTAAGGCACCAGGCTGAGACTATGAATTCTAGTCCTGTCTTACCTATGAAGGCCAATTGGGTGATTTTGGGCCAGTCACTCTCTCTCAGCCAAACTCACCTCACAGGGTTGTTGTTATGGGGAAAACAGGAAAACTTATTCAGAAGTAATCACATCATTGGTCTCTGAGTTAAACTGAGAATAATAAGAATGTAGCAATAGAAACAAAAGAAGGAAAGTTTATTTGCAAACATCTAAACTGGAGGACAGCCTATGAATTCAAGAAGAAACATATAAGTGGACTCCTTCCTGTGCCTCTCAGAGTCCCACACATCATTAAGATTCCAGTTGTTATAATACTGTTTTGTTATTGACAAATTATTTTACCTCAACTATTCCACTTGCATATTTGACATGTTTCTGCTATATGTTTCTTCCAA